TCAGATGTGCATCTCCAAAAACACACTATCTTACCTTCTGTCCTTAAAGAAATAACTGGCAACCAGCTCTCAGTTGTCCTGTGCTTGTAACTAAGTTGTCTTTTAAATTTTTTATTATTTTGATGTGTGTGTGTGTGTGTGTGTGTGTGTGTGTGTGTGTGTGTGTGTGTGTATGCAAGCATACATGCCACAGTGTACATGTAGAAGTCAGAGGACAGCTCTCAGGAGTTGGGTCTGCTTCTACTTTGTGGAATCTGGGGCTAGGATACAAGCCATCAGGTCTTCACACAAGCACTGAGACATCTTCCTCTCCCCAAGTCACCTTTTAACAAAAGAATAACTTCATTCATTTATCACTTGTATTAATGTTGTCTGTTGTAATCTAGGCACTGTGCTAGATGTTGAGGACTTAGAAATGAGCAAGATAAGACAAACAACAACATAGTTGTAGGTTTTGTGTGCTTTGGGGAAATGGACCACACAAACTGCTATAGAGCTCATGGGAAAGTGCTCCGATGCTCACATTATAAGGATTGAGGCTTTACAAGGGTCTTTCAGTTCCAGCTGAATATCCTGAACATCTACCAAGTGTCATCATTCTTCTATCCCCACTGTTTTGAGGGAGAAAACAATGCACAAGAGTGAATAGTTTGCTCACTATCTGCCCTCAGAGTTTATTGCTGTGGGAAAGGAGAGACAGAGCTAAGCAAGCAAACCAGAATTATAAATCCTCTTAAGTTATATATATATATATATATATATATATATATATATATATATATATATATATATATATAAAACACAGAATCTGAAGAAGAGAATGAGGGGAAGGGGTGGTGGGACAAGTATCTCTATAAGAAGTTAAATTGAAAAGGTGAAAAGAAACCAAGAAAAACAACATTACAGGAAGAGGTGAGCATATGTGTAAAAGCCCTGCAATGGAAATGTACAATCCCAGAACGCAAAGCCTAAACACATGGGAGATTGCCATGAGATGAAGTCATAATGGTAGACAGGGACTAGCAGGGCTTTTGTAGACCATTTTGACAAAAGATGCTGGTTTTTAAGTGCAATGGGAATCCATAGAAGGTTTCAATCAGTTGCCTTGGCTTAAGTCTTAATGAGTTCACCATTGCTTCTATTAACATATAGAAAACACCATGCAAGAAAAAGTAGGGGAAAATAGAGAGTGTTGGAAAGGCTACAGGTGATGGTAATCTGGATGAAGAGGAGCAGAGAAGTTAAAAATGCCCTCTAGGTATACACTCAACAGATCTCTTACAGGGCTAGAGTGATGGTTCGGTGGTTAAGAGCACTGGCTGCTCTTTCAGAGGACACAGATTCAATTCCCAGCACGCACATGGCCTGTTTATAGCCACCTGTGGCTCTAGTTTCGTGGAATCTGATGCCATTTTCAGGCCTCTGGGGGCACCAGGCACCCACGTGGTACACAGATACACATGTAGCAAAACACCCATATACATAACTGTTTTTTTCTTTTCTTTTCTTTTCTTTTACTTTTAAAAAGATGACCTCTTGTTGATAGACTAGATGTGGTAGAATGGAAAAGACAAGCATCTCTTAAACTTGGATCTAAAGCTTGGATCATGAGACTTCAAGGGACTGGCATACTGGAGAAGGTGTGAAGATAGCAGTAACCATAATGTTCACCTCATCCGTGCTTGACATCAGATCTGGCACATAGCATGCTCTTATTCTGGGACATTGAGATAACAGACCACAGATTCTGGCTAAACCTACCTCCTTTGATCTACCTTGTCTCATGTTAGATCAGAAGACCCTGTTCTCTCTAGAGCAATCTTGCCCCATAACCTGGAGGGAGGATTACCACAAAGAAAGACCAAGGAGAACCTGAACAGACAGGCTTTGTTGGTTCCCCTCGTCAGTCTCCTATCAGCATGAATTTGCAGTGAAGGCTCCAGAAAAACTCAAAAGGTCAAGGTTTGGAGTGCTTCCAGCTAGCTCAACATGTGGAGGTTCTAGAGAGGGCATGGGAGCTCTGTACTCTTCCCATACCTCTGCTTATGTCTGGCATCATCTGTATCCTTTACAGTAGCCTTACCCAAAGCTGATAAGAACATTGCCCTGAGATCTGTGAAACATTCAAACAAATAAAATAAATATGGGGAGTTATGACTCTGATTCATATCTCATGGTCAGAAGCACAGGCCAAAACATCCTGGGGTTTTGAGTGACATCTACAGTACATGGAGTGAGAATCATGGGAACTGAACCTTCAATTCATGGGCTCTGATGTATCTCCATGTATACAGTGTCAGAACTAAACTAACCAGAAGATACTCAGTTGGCATCTACTTTAGAATGGCTTGCTTTTTGTTGGTGAGAAACTCCCATGCATTTTGATGTCACAAAAGTTATCTGCATTGTTAATATATACTGGGAAAATCTAAATCTGATTTGGAGTTAGATTTCCTTGGAGAAATGAAAACATAAAATGTCACTGCTAACCTCAGAAACATAAAAGTGTCAATAGACTGTGGGTGCTAATTGAAAATGAGGCCACGGGCTGGGAGGATAGTACAATCAGAAAAGTGTTGCCAGGGAAGCATGAGGAACTCAGTTAGATCCCCAGTACCCATGTAAAAAAGCCAGGCATGGTTAGCACATACCTGTAATCCCAGTGCAGGGGAGGCAGAGCCAGGGGTATCCCTGGAGCTTGCTGACCAGCCAGCCTAGTCAAATTGGTAAGCTCTAGGTTCTGTGAGAGATCCTGTCAAAAAAAAAAAAAAAAAACGTAAAAAGCTCCTGAGGAACAATACCCAAGGTTGACCTCTAGCCTACACACACACACACACACACACACACACACACACACACACACACACACACACACGCGCATACACACACATACACACACACACACACACACACACACACAATCACTGTGGGTTGTATAATGATTGAATAACTGAAGCAACATGTAGAAACATCTCTTGTGACACACTTGATTAAGAAGAAAATAAGAGGACTGCTTGCAATACCATAGTCAGGAGGCTGTTGTAGGAGGATTACAAATTTGAGGAGACTTTAGGCTATATAGTGATATCTTGTCTTAAGAAAAAATAAATTAAAAAGCCACACATGATAAGATATACCTCTAATCACAACATAAGGACTGTGGAGGAAAATCAGGAGGTTAAGGTCATCATTAGCTACACAGCAAATATGAGGCAAGCCTGAGGAGATACATGAGACCCTGAGACTGTTTTAAAAACAAAAACCTGGGAGATGGTTGACAAGATAGAGCAATAGGTAGGGCACTTCTAGCCAAGGCTTATAACCCTGGTTCGATTTCTGGGACCTATGTGGTAGGATAAAACTCATTCTCAATGTTGTCTTCTGACCTCTGCATGGGTGTCATGGCATGCACACATGTACAATAAATAAATGCATTTAATAAATTTTTTTTTTTTTTTTTGGTTTTTTCGAGACAGGGTTTCTCTGTGTAGCTTTGCGCCTTTCCTGGAACTCACTTGGTAGCCCAGGCTGGCCTCGAACTCACAGAGATCCGCCTGGCTCTGCCTCCCGAGTGCTGGGATTAAAGGCGTGCGCCACCACCGCCCGGCCTAATAAATTTTAAGAAAACTAAGAAAGAAGGGAGGGAGGTTATTACTGTGTTTGGAGCTATCCAATATTGTGGGGGAGGGAATTGGTATATGTTATGTCCATCTGAGCAACACTAAAATTTGTTTTAAGCCAGACTGAAGAAGATGGGAAAGGTCAAGATGAGGTCATTAATAAGTAAGACATAGAAGAAGGAATGAAATATAGTCCCTAAAGGCAAAAATAGGTGTGTTTTCTTTGGATAAAAAGCTAAAATAGGAAGACAGATGGTGCAAAGTTTATGAGGATCTACTATAGTTTGGATCTGGAATATCTCCAAAGGTCTGTGTGTTAAATTAAGACTTGATCTAGCAGGTGTATCTAACCTGCAGCCTGCAGGCCACATGCATCCCAGAATAGCTATGAATGGGGACAAGCATATTTGTAGACCACAATATCATGTCATAATATCACAAGGATAGATACCCCTAGATGCAGCCTAACACAGAAAGGATTAGATTCTTAAAGATGTGAGCCTAGGAAAGGCAGGAAGTTAAATCATTCGAAAATGCCTTTGAAGTTGATCCTGGGACTCTGGACCCTTTGTTTCCTCTTGCATTCAGGCCTCTGTGAGTTGAGCTGTGGATTCCACAAATCCCTGCCATGATGTGCTGTCTTACCATAGACTCATGGCAGTGAAACCAACATGGACTGAAATCATGGTTCAAGAGTTGAGAGATGAGGAACAGGAATAACAGACTACCTGATGCTCTGCCTCATTTTTCTCGGGGTCTCAAGAGGAAGCAAGATGTGGGAAGTAGGGAAAAGCTGAAAGGATTTTCCATCAGTGCTCAGACTCTGCAGAGGTTGCAACCTGCAGCCTTATTCATGGATGTTGCATTGACTGGACTGCTTTGCTGGGGAACTGGTTCTACAGAGCACACCTGCAATCCCAGCTAGCCCTTGTCTCAAAAAATATTAAAATTAATAACTAAATTTAAAAATAGAACATGTCATTACTTGAGTTCCCCCAAAGCAGAACTTTTGGGAAAATTGTGTGTCCAAATGCTTTATCAAGAAATTGCTTCATGGACTGGAGAGATGGCTCAGCCATTAAAGGCTAGATTCACAACCAAAAATATAAGAAATTGTTTCACAATGGTGCAGTAGTAGGATTTTATCTTAGGGGTAATCAATAGCTGTCTAATTAGACTTAAGGTCTGCTCAATAAAAAGAAACTCATACCTGATACTGTAAACTTAGTCAACTACCTGTACCTGTAGCAGGAGTGGACATAGACTCTAGACTACCTCCATTTTCCTAAACCAGTATAATTTCTAACTGTATTTCACAATACTTGGCCTTATACCCACAGATAAGTGTAGTTTCTTCATCAAAGAAACTTCTTTTTGCAGAGATCCACAACTGGTCAAAAATGCAGAGAATAAGTGACCATGGGTTGCCCAGCCCTAATCTATGCATCTACAATGCTACCCTTATACTTAAGGCTCAGAGAACACTATGGAAGAATGAAGGAAAGATTCTGGAGCCAGAAGACCAGGATACCTGCCGTGAGATAATGTCTTCTTGCTATAACAGGTATGCTGCATTTATGAAATCTCAACAATATGGTTGCCTAATAGGACCTGCATAATGACAATGCCAGATGACATGCCAACTGAGTGGGGGAAATTTCCAAGGCCCCACCCCTAGATGAAGAGCAATCAATGGCTGCTGAGAAAGGGAAACTCAGTCTGCTCCAGGGATGAGCCTCTTGATAGATTATCCAATCCCAAGTGGTCATCGCTAAACATAGACACATACAAGCAACACTAAATGGCCTGAGAATATATTATATGTGTGTGCTCTGCATATATACTATATATAGAATATTACTGACAGATATAGATCAATAATTGTCATGGATTTGAGAGGGAGTGGTGAGGACAGAGGAGGAGTTAGAGGGGGAGAGGGAAAGGTAGAAATTATGTAAATATAGTACTCATACATGAAAGTCTCAAAATTGAAAATTTAAAAAAAGTTTCCTTGGGGTTAGTGAGAAGACTTAGCAGTAAAGTGCACTTGCTGCACCCGCAGAGGACCCAGATTCAGTTTGCAGCGCCCACATGGTAACTCATAAGTGTCTATGATTCTGGTTCCAGGGGATTTGGTGCCTCCTTCTGGCCTCCCTAGGCACCAAGCATGCAAATGGTCTACATATATATACATATATGTAAAATAAAAATAAATAAATCCTTTTTAGAAAACAAAAAAGAAAATATTTCCATGAGAAACTAGGGAATAAGGATTCAGTCTCAAATCCAACAGAAGTTATCTTCTGTCTACCCCCATATTATACTAATCTGGAGCATATGCTAATCTGGTACATATGCTAATTGTAGAGTTGTCCCAACAGTCAAAGGAACAGAAGCTGTTATATTACTATGTCTATCAGTCATTGCTTAAAGGCTGCATAGGAGAACAAATTCCCAGAGCTTCTAGCTCCCTTCACTCAGTAGAGAGGCTTACTCCAGAATCCCTTAGGGCAAGCCTCCAAGCAAGATGTAAGGTGTTAGCAGTAAGGGCACTTTGAAGGTAGAAGCTAACAACACATTGGGAAAAGAATCTGAGAGCATGTGGGTAAGTGCACGGTCATTATCTGCCTGAACCCTATTGTCCATTGCGGCACAGAAGCCCCAGTAAACTACATTGACATCTCATTTCAACAAAGCCTAATTGATTTGAATAAGTGTTGTTACAAAGTTCTGTTATTACAATGTTAAGATGAGCACTTTAGTTTTGTTGGGCATTTTTTTTCTAACAAATATTAAAATGGACTATTTTTGCAGAGTTTTCAAAGCTGGTAAATAGACTTAGAGATCCATTTTCCTGCTCTGTCACATAAGAGTTCTATAACCTGGCTCTATTTCAAACCTGAGGTAATTCTAGTCCCTTTGGTGACAACAACAGATTCAGTAAGAGGGGATCCTTCTTGTCGCAGGGTCTGAAACTATAACAATAACTACTCTGGCACATGTACCAGAAACATTACTACAAGCTATGCATCCTTGAACAATTCTTTTTCCTCAACATCAGGATCTGGAAAACGAAAGAGAATCTCAGCTGTACTGTATACTATGCAGAGCAACCTCCCCAGTCTCCTTTCCCTCTTGCCCTGCAAAGTCTTTTTTGGAAAAAGAATTAATGAAATATATGAACACACAAGTCAATAAATGCATAAACAACAAAAACAAAAAGGAAGAAAACTCAAGCTTAAAGCATGCCACAGTGACAGCACTGGGAGTTCAAGGCATGCTCCCCACCCTGGCATCTGGAACAGTTTTCCAGACTTATTCACAAAAGGATTAGGGCCCTGTGCCTGGCTTTTGGCCAATAAGCACTGTAAGTCAGTGCTTCTTGAAGTGTAGGTCATGTAACCAGTGCCAATTGGAAACCATCTTCAAAGCTAAACCGGTTCTTCAATTTATGACACAAGCATCATAGTATGTTTGGGGGAAGTTACAGGGGCTGGTGGTAACATTTGTTCTGTGTCCTCTCAGCCTACTTCTCTTCTCCTTCTCAAATAATTCTCTTGCTAGAGACTGGATGCTAAGATATCAAGAAGAATGGATGAGCCTCATATATCAATAGTGCCAAGTTGAGAGATTCTGTTGTATCTCCCCTTCCCCAAACCTCTGACTCTCCCTTCCAGTTTAATTGTATGCCCTTTGTAATGTTCTGTCTTTACCGCCCTAGCCCACACCAGGATGCTGTGTCCCTGCATTGAAACATTTAGGGTGACAGCTCCAATCTCTGTGAAAAACATGCTCACTTTTTCTGGGTCTCTCATTCCATTTCCTCTCAAATTGAGGTTTTCCTCACTGAGTAATGAGAAGAAACAGATTCAGAGGTAGAAAATAAAAGCTGGCTTGGATAACGTTAAGTCTGTGATGCCTATTGAATCTCTAAATGGAACTTTCCAAGAAGATAGAGGTCCCTATATAAAATCTAGTGAAGTCATCCAGGCTGTCATGCAAATTTGGAGGTCACAGTTTTGGAGATGGTGCTTAGAACCAGAAGTTTAGATGAGACAGATCACCTAGAGAAGGAGTGAAATTACAGCAGATAAATGGATGGTGATGGCAGTTTACAACAATGTAAATGTATACCATTCCACAATCCTACCATTCAGTGCAGTTACGACGGTATTTTTTTTTTTTACCACCTAATATGTATTTTGTTGTTATCAGTAAGTGAAAGAGTGATCAAGTTAAATACTGCAGAGAAATGACGGAACTGCTAGTTTTGGCAATTTGGAGAGCAGTTGTGACCTCAACAGCACAACCAGTATAATTCAGCTCAGAGATATAATAGGGGGTGAGAAGAACAAGATGGAAAAGGTAGCCTATGATTAGGGTGCCAGAAACTGGAGCCAGTGGCTGGAAGTGATCACAGGAGGAATGTGAAGAGAAAAATAACACATCAGTTTAACCTTAGAATGATCCAGGAGACAAAAGAGCTACTTGTCATAGCCACACTCAACCCCAAGTGTGGAGGATCCAGTTTCCACTAGAAGGTAGGGCAGGCAGCAGGACTGGTCTCCATGTGAACAAAACAAGTGTTGCTGGCACATAATGTCAGGAAGGGACCCAGATGCATAGATGTGCAGATGAGCAGGTGGAGTGGTGTGCCAGGAGGCAGATAAAGACATGGATTCTGATTGAAATAAACAAAGTTGTCAACAAAGAGTGAAACGTGGTTTGTTTTTTTTTTTTTTTTTTTTTGGTTTTTCGAGACAGGGTTTCTCTGTAGTTTTGCGCCTTTCCTGGAACTCACTTTGTAGACCAGGCTGGCCTCGAACTCACAGAGATCCTCCTGCCTCTGCCTCCCAAGTGCTGGGATTAAAGGCGTGCGCCACCACTGCCCGGCTGGTTTTGCTGTTTTGAAAGGGGCTTTGAACATCACTCTCAGAGAGATGGACCTGTGACAGAAAATGCAGCAGGACTGTGAAGCTGCCCTTGGTGCCTAATGTTGTAGTTGACAGTGACAAGTGAGTGCACAAAGCACACCAAAAAAGAATAAAGTGTGGTCACAGTTGTTATCTGAATATGTATTATTTTATTAAAATTTTTCTAATAGTGTATAATTTCAATTTCATTTCCTATGATTTACTTATAGATACAGAGTTTGAAAAATACTTTAAAGTTAGTATTTTTACACAAATACAAGCCACCAAAATTTAACAGTCATACATACCACAAAATGTATGGTTCAGGAACTGTCTTAGTTATGGTGACTATTGCTGTGATTAAACACTATGACCAAAAGCAACTTGGGGAAGAAAGAGTTTATTCAACTTACATATCCTGAATCACAGTCCACTGAGGGAAGTCAAGGCAGGAACTCAAACTGGGCAGGATTCTGGAGGCAGGAGCTGATGCAGAGGCCATAGAGGGGTGCTGCTTACTGGATTGCTCCTCATGACTTGCTCTGCCTGCTTTCTTACAGAACTCAGGACCACCAGCCCAGCAAATCTTATGGAGGCATTTCCTCAACTGAGGCTCCTTCCTCTCTGATGACTTTAGTTTGTGTCAAGTTGATATAAAACTAACGAGCACAGGCTGGAGAAATGGCTCAGTGGTTAGAAGCACTGCTTGCTCTTCCAGAGAACCTAGGGTCAATTCCCAGAACCCACATGGCAGCTTCTGGATGTCTGTAAATTCAGTTCTAAGGGATCCCACACCTATAGCAAAACACCAAAGCGCATAAAATAAAAATAAATAATTAAAAAAACTAGCCAGCAAAAGAACTATTACAAATGTTATTTAGAAGGAAAACTTCTTAGACCAATTAAATGTAGCATAATTCATTTAAGCAAGATAACAAACACAAATTGAGAACCAGGTGCTCCTAAACCAGAACAGGTTTCTGAGTGCTCTAAAGACAGGATCATTTATAAGAAAACAGAGATAAGAAGTAGGCAACTTCTTAATTGGTTACAGCCTAGTCAATCAACCAGTAAATTGGTTATAGCGTAACCACATAATCATTTATATTTAATTAGTTAATTGATTACAGTCCTCCTGCAATCAACCAAAGCTCAGTTACTATAATTAAACTGTATTGCTTTGATTGGTTGAGCCAAGTGTAGGTGCTCAACCCAGTTCAAACCCATGATCTCCTCAAAATAAAATTGCAGAGTCCTAATGTTTAAAGAAATTTTATAATGACAGTTCTTCCAGAATTCAGAAAATAGCTAACTAAATTTATATAAAATATTTTATTATTATAGCTACTAACTTGATTCAGTATACATATGTACACATATATGATTTGTCTATGCATATATATGTATACTATTATATGTTATGTTATATTTTTCTTAATTTTATTAACATATATTCATTATATGTAATAATGGATTTCATTATGACATTCTCATGCTTACATAATATGTATTTTGATCATATTCACCTCTATTACTTTCTCTACACCCCCCTCCCCCCCACACTGATCCCCTTCCCCTTCCCTAATTTCCCTTCTACTTGTATGTCTTTATTTTTTGTGACTCACTAAGTTTAATTAGGGTTGCTTACAGG